CTAGTCCTTCATTCCTCGTGTACCAAAAACTTGTGCTTGCCTGAGCAAAAACATGCAGGCTCAGGCTTCATCTGGAAGAATCAGGCTCTGTGACTCTTTGCCGAGAAATAAAGAACCTTGATTTATGGGCCATTATTCTTGGTAGAATTATAGCACCGCACGTGAATGAGCAATCACAGACACCATGATCAACAAATTACCTGAGGTGATTCACTAGGGTGTGGAAGTACGGAAGGATGGTAATTAAATGACTGTGTTCCACTATGTATTTGTTATGTGGAGACGGATGCTGCAGGGCACAATGAGCCTGCAGTGGTCCTTTGTTGGATTTACAGGGAAAAAGAGTGCCAAAACCCTGCCATAAGGGAAAATTGCATTCCCTTGCGTCTGAAAGAACACTCAGACTCTTGAGCCCTTTTCCAGGGATTGCAGGCCTGGGTTTCAAGGATCAGGTAGATGGCATCTTTTCTTTTTATCCTCATTAAGATCGTTTTTCCCACTGTGCTATGTGCAGAGAGGAAGATTTGTCTTCCTGAGTGCTTGCACCAGCATGTTACCTGATGTTTCATGCTCTCTGAGTTCACACAGCATTACTACAAGGTTGCTCTTTGCAAACCCTAATCTTCTTTTCTCTTGTGAGGTAGGATCACAGGCAGAAAGCTTCCTTTATGTGTATTGATGTTTCCAGAGTTGTTTCAACCAGCATCCACCAAGTTAAATAGCATATATATTGCTTGTATCCAAAAAGGATAATTCTGCTCATTAGCCTAATGTGTCAGTCTCAGAACTTTTTTCCCCTATATTATTGACTCCCTTTAGAACAAGAAAAAAGCTAAAGGAAAACTAATCTGGGTTACATGAATGCTGTAAATACATTTCCCTTTAAACACTTTGGGTTAGATTATGAGTAGGAAGAAAGAAGCCCAACAGTGGTCAAGGGGTGTCGGAAGGGAATATCACACAAAGCAAAAGAAGGACTGATGTGCGGCAAGTAGAGATAAGCAAATATCGACTAAAATGACATAATGGCTTAGGATGGGGGGTCTATGTTCATACAGACCAGAGATACATATGCAGTGTGGTGTCTGAAGGGTTCTACAGATGGTGGCTGTGCAAAGAGCTCTGTACCAAACTGATGCCAGGTGTCAGGTCACAAAAGGTAAGAGCTAGGGAGTTTTCCCTGCTCCTGGTTTTGTGATGGCCATGCTAGGATGAGGGAAACTTTAAAAACAGGAGACTCCCATCAAGGCACCAAATTTGCCCTTTCCCTCTACCCCAGGGGTGGGCAAAATACAGCCCATGAGGCCATTCTATCCGGCCCACGGAGCCCCTAAAAAAATTTCAAAAATTAAATTTTATCTGTCCTTGGTTCCTGTTAAAAATGACAGGAACCAGGGGCAGTAGTATCCAGGGAAAGCCCAGCAGACTCCCACAACAGCACGACCCGCCCCCCAAGCTGGAAGCCCCACCAGGGGCTTCTGGCCTGGGACCACGTGGCTGCACCAGCGTGGAAAGCTCAGGTAAGGGGGTGGGGAGGAGGGCAGGGGAGGACTGCGGGCAGGGGAGGATGACAGGCAGGGAAGGAGCCTGGGGGAAAGTGGCCCCTCACCCACCCCATGGCCTGCGCTCCCTGCTGCAGCTGCTTGCAGCCCACGTGGGGCTGTCCTGAGCAGGCACAGGCAGCCCCAAGCGGGCTGCGAGTGGCTGCAACGCAGGGTGCCAGGCATGGGGTGGGCGAGGGGCCACTTTTCCCCCTCCTTGTGCTCAGCACCAGCTTGTAACCCGGCCCTGCGCTGGCTCCGGTCTCGCCCGTTGGGGTTGTGCCACGGTGGCAGCAGCTGCGGCCCCTCCACTTGCCCCACCGGGCAGTGTTTGCTGCTGCTGCCTGCCTGGAGCTCGTGCACAGAGTAGCACAGAGGTGGCGGTGGCAAACACTGCCCTGCATGGCAAGTGGGAGGCCACAGCTGTTGCTGCTGCCATGGCACAGCCCCGACAGATGAGGCCAGAGCCAGTGCGGGGCCCAGGCTGGCTGTGGGGGTGGGTTACAAGCTGGTGCTGAGTGCGGGGGAAAAGCAGCTCCTTGCCCATCTTGTGCCTGGTGCCCCGTGCTGCAGCTGCTCGCAGCCCATGTGGGGTGGCCTGTGCCTGCTCAGGACAGCCCCATGAGGGCTGTAAGCACCTACAGCAGGGAGCACCGGCCACGGGGCAGGGGAGGGGCCGTTCATCCGCGCTCTGCACCAGCTCCTTCCCTGCCGGCGAGCAGGGGGTCAGGGCTGTGCGCTGCCCCCTGCCTGTACTGCAGAGCTGGGGGGCACTGGGAGTGAGTGAGTGGGGAGCCAGCAGGAACACAGAGCCCGTACGGGTGTCCCAGGGCCAGCACCAGCAGGGCCCAGAGCAGGGCAGCAGGGGTACAGGGTCCTGGCTGGCAGGGGCTCTCCCTGCTGGTGCAGCCCAGCTCCACAGACCCCTGCCAACCTTCACTCTGCTCTGGGCCCTGCTGGTCCTGGCCCTGGGACATTGGTCCCAAGATGGTGACCAAGGGATGGGGCATCTTTCATGGGGCGGGGCTACCCAAGCAACCCTTGATAGCTTGCGAAAAGTGGGTAAGTGGTCCTCCACCCAAAATAATTGCCCGCCCCTCCTCTACCTCATAGTAACCAATTTACTGGTCCATGTATAACAAAGACAGCCAGCCACCTTCAGAGGCTCTTGTTTTCATTGTGCTTGAATTTTCTTGGGATGCTTGAGGTTTCTTCCCCTCCCCCATCTGCACTGTCCTTTAAATGGTGAATGTGACCTGATCTGCAGTTGCATTGTGTTGGCAAAGGATGCCATCCTGGTGGCTGCTGCCCAGCATTCATCGTCCTGAAAGTCTAATTTTGTCTTGTTTCAGTGTGGCAAATAGGACCAAACACCAGTGGCCCTACCTACATGCAGAAATAAACAAAATGGAAATCTAAAGAGTAGAAGGCTGTGACAGGGCCTGGGTTCACCTGATTGCATGAGGTGTACTAGATCGTGTACAAAGCATCATGAATCTGGTTGCCATTTTCCAGTGGGCAGAGAAAATCTGCAGGGTGGGGCAGAATGAGTACCTGATCTCAAGGCATTTTTGCTTTGTTTTGCTAGTGGTGACAGGGAATTAGTGACATGAGGGAGAGTTAAAACTTGAGCTTCTGAGTTCTATCTTGGTCTACTGGGAGGGTGGAGTCAATGGCAATGGTTATTACTGGAGGAAGAAAGGGTTGTCGCACCCCTAGCGATGGTTAATGGGGAGTGGAGTAGGGCACCACTCAGGATGTCAATCCTCAAAGCAGCTGTGTTGCTCTGCTCTGGGCTTCCCCAGCCACCTCACCTCCACGTGTGCTTATTTCTCAACTAAGATGTTTCTGAATAGAATTCCGGCCACTTAGGACACAAGCGCGCGCAGCCAGTCGCCTCCCGCAGAGGTCTTGTGTGCTTGCCTCATGCACCTGTGGCAGCCTATCCCTGCAGTCCTCTGCTCTGTACTCAGCCACCCACATCCCATGATCATGCCAGTTGGAAAGAACATGCATGAACACTGATTTGGCAGACGCCCTTCCACAAACACAGGTGCAATAAGACTGAAATGACAGGTAATCTTCCCAACAACTTTCACTTAACAAAAGGACCTATCAAAAGCACTATCAGCTTCCATCTGGTTGACACACTGAGAAGGAGACCCAAATGTGAAGGGACAATATAATACAAGTGGCCAAAAGTATAGCAGACGGGGAGGGGGCTTCATTGCACAGAGCCAAAGTGAGATCTGCACCCATTTTCTCCCCTACCCAGATCGATTCCCTTACAACTTACAAGGGACAGGAATGGCTGCAGCGAGACCACCCGCATTAACCGAGGTCTTTGCATATCCTCGCACTGGAGCAGCCGAGGGCAGCGACCGCCCCCTGCTCCGAGCGCGCCGCCCTCAGGAGGCCGGGGTTCGCCCAGTAGGGCGCGTGGGGATGACGTCAGGCTGAAGCGCCGGAAATGGAGCCCTGTGGCAGGGGCAGCTGCTGCGTGAGG